TGTTTTCTATTTATTTGCCGTAATTGTGACGTTAAGTTGATTCAACGTTCAGTAGATTCAAATCCTGAAGTCATCAAGTTCAGTTCATTCAGTTTCCTCAAATTCACTTTTGGTTTAAAATCAACTAAAGCAGAACTTTAAGTTGAACGTATTCACAACGTTAAACTGATGCAACTCAAAATATTACAGTTTATTCAAATCAGTGAATTAGATCCAAGTGGAGGATGCAAGTCGCTTTAATCAGTATTTTTCACGTTCTAAATTAGTTTTCTTTACGTTTTTCTTCTACATTTTATGAATTTAAACTTCAACAGGTTTCTGCGTCTAAATCAACAAAAATTATAAAAATGTTTTAAAAAGTCAAATAAATTCACCAAATTCAGCCCAAACAGACTCCCTGTTTCTGAGTCTGCAGCCGGACCTGGACCCAGGTTCTGCTGGAGAACCTCACAGCACCAGAACGTCTCGTGAACGCCCACGTGAGAACACCGAGGACACAAACCAGCGGCTACAGCAGCAGCTCTCACCTTTTTCTTCTTCTGTTGCAGAGTCACACAGGAGTGATCCGGGCGGTTCCACCAGGACTCAGTGGAACATCTCGTTCTGCTGCAGGTTCTGCTGAGTTCTGCTGAGTTCTGCTGGGATTCACTGAGGCCTCATGCTCCTCCACACGTTCCTCTGCTTCCTCTCCGCTGCAGGGTTCTTCCTGCTCCTCCTCAGCTCTGCAAGAAGTCCTGTTCTACGGGGTTCTGCTGGGTTCTGCTGGTTCTCTGTGCTCTGGTTCTGCTGGTTCTCGCCCTCCGGCTCCTCGTCAGGCTCCCTCAGAGCTCTGCTGCTTGTTTCCTGTTTGTTTTATTTTCTAGCAGCAACAGGAAATGGTCATCTTTTCCTCTTCCTCCCCCACCAGCACTCAGACACACAACCAGTCAGACTCCAGTCCAACAAACCAGCAACCCAACCCACCAATAGCAGCTCCTCAGACTCTGTGTAGCCCCGCCCCCTCACTCCTTCCAGCTGAACCAATCAGAACGAGCAGATGCCTCTCAGTCCAACAGGTTTAATGACAGCTGCTTCTGCTAAAATGTTTATTAAACTCACCAAATGTTCTGATGTGAGAGTGAACACAACAGTCTTTAT